CAAAAGTTATAGTCACAATTCTTAGCTGTCTGGAGCTGTCTTTAGAGTTGTGGAATTAAAAAAATATATATAAAAAAAGCAAATGAATAACAACAATTTAAAACAAACTCATGTACGCGTGAGTGCACCGTATGATGTAGTGGTTTGCATTAATTGAAAGAAAGGAGGGAGAGTGAGCATTCAAACAACTACAAAAAGAACCACCATAAGTAGGCATCTGGTAAGAATGGGGAGATTATAAAATAGCAAAATAAAAGGGGGGAACCAGAAGAGTGATTACCAGTCTCTGTGCCTGGGACTCATGGTGCGTAGATGGAATGAATAGTATGTCTTCCACCTGTTTGTACTTTTATTTCTATGTAGGACCTCTTAGGACCAATACATTTTGAATCTACTAATAGTTCATGTGGCTTTTGGCCACTATGTATTTTCTTGATCAGCAGGCAAGTAATGCAGACAAGAAGGACTGATGTGAAGAGGCATGCTATCAGAAAGGTTGGGAATGCTGATCTTGAAGGCATGTATTCCTTGGTATTTATCCAAAATGCCATCATGGGGCAAATGAGAAAGTAATGAGATTTAATGTACAGGTGGGATGTTCCTAAAAAAGCAATCCTAGTGAAGGTTAGGGTGAGGGGCCGAGGCTGTAGCAAAAAGAGGCCTTTTGGCCGGATCCATGGCTCACACCTGTAATCCTAGCACTCTGGGAGGCCGAGGTGGGTGGATCGTTTGAACTCAGGAGTTCGAGATCAGCCTGAGCAAGAGCGAGACCCCATCTCTACTAAAACAGAAAGAAATTAGGCAGGCATGGTGGCACATGCCTGTAGTCCCAGCCACTCAGGAGGCTGAGGCAGAAGGATTGCTTGAGCCCAGGAGTTTGAGGTTGCTGTGAGTTAGGCTGACGCCATGACTCTCTAGCCCAGGCAACAGAGTGAGACTCTGAAAAAAAAAAAAAGGCCTTTTATCAGGAGCCTTTAAACTCTTTGGGCATGACCAACCCATATTCAGAAATGCCTGATACTGCCTGACCCACAATTCTCATAAACACAAATATCCATCAGTTACCCTGTTTACCAAAAATCTCCCGCACAGGAAGATGCAGACCTGGCTTATGGCACCTTTGGTTATTTCTAGTGACTTCAAGAAATACGAGCAATGAAAAGAAACCTGACATTTTAGTTTAATGCTGTCATATTTGCAACTCTAAAAAGACTGAAAAATCAAACTGAAATTCCTTAGCTCTTAGTTCTTCTTTTCATTCTGTTTTACTCTTTTTGATTTCTACTGTGTCATTCCCACGTCTTTTTAGGGAGGTGGTGACTGGTTAAAAGTTTTTCATTATTACAACGGTCTTAAATAGCAAACATATCTATGGTGTGCAAAATAAAAATCAGAGCAGAATTGAAGAGACTTCTCCTTATTCCTACAGAGGAAGAGACTTCCTCTTCGGGGATCCCCAGATTTCTCCATGGCTGACCTTTGTCTCTCTTCTGTAGAGTGTCCTAGTTACTAGTTTTATACCTGATTTTTGGGGGGTGGAACAGTGGGGAGAGGAGATGGCTCTGAAGTAATTGACCGAAGATTTTGTTTTTTTAAAGATGAAAGAGATTTAAGGGTGAGTTTAGGACTATTGGAAGGAGCAAGTAAAGCATATGAATGCTAATGTGTTCTGTCTAGACAATCTTTTCTTCCTTCTCCAGTCTTTCTGTGAAGTTTTGGGAGGTGACATTTTGTCTTGGGTGGGACATTGACCGCTGTCCAGGGCCCTCTCCTTTCCAAGCAGAGTCCCAGGAGTACTTATCTGCCAGGTGTGGCTCCCAAGCCCTCCTTCCCCTTTTGGCCTTAGTATAACCCTTTCCCTCCTCTACCCTCCCTTCTCCTCACCTCCCCTCCTGGTCTATTTCCATAACTGGGTGTGGGGCTGACACTGACTCTAGTTACCCACTAGAGTGGGAGCCCGGGATGTTACAAGGGAGGATGCCTAGGACAGCACCCACCACAGAGAATAATCTGATCAAAATACCTGATACTGTAGCCAAGAAGCCCTGTCCTAACTGGGTCCTGTTTGGGGTCTCCTGAAGGGACCCACCCTGGTGTGGGGATCTCTAAATACTCCTCCCGCTGCTTCTGGGATTTTATCACATCCAGAAACAAGATACAGAGAGAGGGGGCCCCAGCTTATAAGGGGAAAAAATATCTTGTGATCTTCTTAGATATTGCCGCTAAAGATACTTTGAACTATATGTTTAAACCTCTCGGTTTAAAAAAGGGGATGCATGTTTCCCCTGTTGGTACGTAAACAAGAAAAGTCCCAGAGACTGAAGTTTCTTATTCCTGCTCTGGTCTTAAA